AGGGCTTCGCCGATATTCAAGTTTTTATGTCAAAAATTGAATTTGCAGGGGTAATTTAAAAAATTTATTACTCGAAAACGGTGAGAGATATTGCAACACAGTTTTCACTGATTTATTAAAGAAAGATCGAATTTTCTTATGGTATGCGTAACAGTCTAAAAAAGTGAGATTACAACACTTTTTCAAAGCTCTCAACTTTTAAACTTTTAAATATCCGTAACTCCATTTTTTCAAATGGCACCCCCTATTTTGTTCTTCCCCTTTGTTTTCCTTTTTCCCAGACGTTTAATTTGATACAAAATGTCAAAAGCTGCTTCAAACGGTTTCCGAGATATTCCATGTTTTAGTGATTTCTTGTGACAAATTGATAAAAAAATTAAGTCGCTTGATGTTATTCTTTTGTTTTTACTATGATAATGTTTAAACGTCAAATTTTCGCGGCTTGAACTTATACTTCTCGTCAATAATGGCTCGTTTGGGTTACACTAATGAAGATTTTTTGAATTTAATATTAATACACGGTAAATGGAATCGAATAGCTGCCAGGACTTGCCGTCTTTTTTCCGAAAGATACCCTGACAAGGCGCAACCCACAGAGGCTACAATTCGCAAATTACTACAAAATTGCAGGAATAACGGGACCTTTCAAACAAAAATACAAAAAAGGAAGCCTGTGGTAGACTTTGAAGAACAAGAAATAACTGTACTGGCGTATTTTGCTGCAAATCCAACCGCATCGCTTAATGATATCCAAAGAGAAATTGAAATATCAAACACGAGTGCACAAAGAATGGCGCCACTTCCGCAAATACCGGAAGGATCCATCAACTTTGTTATTTTAAATAGGGACCTCCTATTTGTGTTACATTTTCGGATTCTACGTCGAATTTGGAGTACAATGGTACCCCATAGCACAGATATACGTAGCGCATATCTGTACCCATAGTTAACCCTTTATTTTAAGTTCATAATGTCCAAACAGTCATATGAGAAGACAAAACCACACATTGCAGAATCATTCAAAATAAAATTCATGACATTTTTAATAAAGTTTTAATTTGCGGATGAACAAACTCAACAAGATATCAGATAAAAGTAACGTAACGAATATCATCTACATTTGACGTTTTAAGATGTGTTCAAATATTCCCCCCTCTTGGTTTAAACATGTTTCTAGCCGTTTTATGACATTTCCATGAGTTGCGTTTTGGATCTGTTGAGGTGTTAATGAATTCAAACCATCTCTAACTCGTCTCTCCATGTCAGCTTTGGTTGTTGGTGGAGTAGCATAAACCATATCTTTGATGGTTCCCCAAAGAAAAAAGTCTAGGGGAGTAAGATCGGGTGAACGCGCGGGCCATGAATAAGGGCCTAAATAGCCGATCCAGTTACCATTAAACGTTCGCTCCAGATAATCCGAAATTACCCTGGAATTATGAGCTGGCGCTCCATCTTGTTGGTAAAATGCACTCGCCAATTCTTGTAATGGAGTATTTTCCAGCGCGGGTCCTAAGACGTTTTGCAGAATATCCAAATACCTTTCCGCATTCAAATTTTCATTGTAAAATGAATAACACAATATTCTATTTCCTTTTATGGCACAAAAAACATTAAATGACCATGTTATTTGATGGTGCACTTCACGTGTTACTTCCGGGTTTCTATCACACCAAAAATGTGAATTATGGCGATTGTACATACCATTTTTACTGAATTTTGCCTCGTCAGACCAAATCACATCACTTAAAAATCCAATTTGTTCTTGAATTTTTACTAACATCCACTCACAAAATTGAATTCTGCGTACATGATCGCCATCGTAAAGGCAATGCACTTTTTAAACAAATATGGGTGCCATTTATGCTTTTTGAGAATTCTTTGTGCACTCGTGTCTGATATGTCAATTTCTCGTTGGATATCATTGAGCGATGCAGTTGGATCTGCAGCAAAATACGCCAGTACAGTTATTTCTTGTTCTTCAGAGTCTACCACAGGCTTCCTTTTTTGTACTTTTGTTTGAAACGTACCGTTATTTCTGCAATTTTGTAGTAATTTGCGAATTGTAGCCTCTGTGGGTTGCGCCTTGTCAGGGTATCTTTCGGAAAAAAGACGGCAAGTCCTGGCCGCTATTCGATTACATTCACCGTGTATTAATATTAAATTCAAAAAATCTTCATTAGTGTAACCCAAACGAGCCATTATTGACCAGAAGTATAAGTTCAAGCAGCGAAAATTTGACGTTTAAACATTATCATAATAAAAACAAAAGAATAACATCAAGCGACTTAATTTTTTTATCAGTTTGCCACAAGAAATCACTAAAACATGGAATATCTCGGAAACCGTTTGAAGCAGCTTTTGACATTTTGTATCAAATTAAACGTCTGGGAAAAAGGACAACAAAGGGGAAGAACAAAATAGGGGGGCCATTTGAAAAAATGAAGTTACGGATATTTAAAAGTTTAAAAGTTGAGAGCTTTGAAAAAGTGACGTAGTCTCACTTTTTTAGACTGTTACGGGTACCATAAGAAAATTCAATCTTTCTTTAATAAATCAGTGAAAACTGTATTGCAATATCTCTCACCGTTTTCGAATAATAAATTTTTAAAATTACCCCTGCAAATTCAATTTTTGACATAAAAACTTGAATATCGGCGAAGCCCTTGGAGCAAAGGGTCAACTATGGGGTATCGTTGTACTCCAAATTCGACGTAGAATCCGAAAATGTAGAATGTAGAATAGGGGGTCCCTATTTAAAATAACAAAGTTGATGGCTACTTCCGGTATTTCCGGAAGTGGCGCCATTTTGAAAATATTTTAGTTCAATTCATCATGTGCCAAAACCCTTAAAGAACTTATCAGTTTATCTTCATTTTCAAAGGTTTTCCATATCTTTCTAACTGACGCTCGTCAAGAATGACCCTGTAATAGTTGTGTGATTAGTTTGAAGATATATCAAACGAATATACAGAGTGGCCCAACGAGAAGTATACAGAGGGCTTTTAAGGTATTAAATTTAGAAATTTCGAAAAATCCTCGAACACGTCAATTTTGTATTCGAGGGGGGCAACTTTTCGAATATAAATCACGAACCCAAGTCTTCACCCCTCTACCTTAACCCCTAAAATTTTAAATGGAATCCTATAGCAAATTATTTGAAAGCCAATTTAATCGTGATTACTAATCTGCTTTGCTTTTTAAATTCTATTGATTCGTTGCGGAGATATTCGCATTTGAAATGGTTTTTTCTAAAAAAACCATAACAAATGCGATCTAAGTCACCTTGTATTAAAATTTTTAAATTTTAATACAAGGTTTAAATTGTGCAAAAAATAACAAATAACTTTAAACACACAACCTTTATTTCAATAAATGCTCGAATTGCCTTCCGCCTGCTTCCATGCAATAATAAAGATTTGCTTCAAAACGCTGCCATACATGTTGCAAGATTTCAGGGGTAATCGCTAGAAATTGTTGAGTTATACGTTATACCAAAGGGTAAGGGTGCTCTTTGGTTATACCATAGTGTATTCTATTCTTACACTATGGTTATACGTGCTCGCAACCCTTGTAATGTTCTGGGCGGAGTAGCATAAACTTTATTCTTTAAATATCCCCACAAGAAGTAATCTAAAGGACTTAAATAACCATTTCAAATGCGAATATCTCCGAAACAAATCCATAGAATTTAAAAAGCAAAGCAGATTAGTAATCACGATTAAACTAGCGTTCAAATAATGTGCCATTTGCCATAGGATTCTATTTAAAATTTTAAGGGTTAAGCTCCCTACGTAGAGGGGTGAAGACTTGGGTTCGTGATTTATATTCCAAAAGTTGCCCCCCTCGATTACAAAATTGATGTGTTCGAGGATTTTTCGAAATTTCTAAATTTAATACCCTAAAAGCCCTCTGTATACTTCTCGTATAAGTGTACTTCCAAAGAAAATTCGACTCTCCTTACTAAAACCAAACATTTTCTAAAACTTTTGTGAGGGGGATCTACAACAGTGCGTCGGTGCGTCGTGCGTCATTTGTTAACCTCTACAGTGAACGCTATTCAAGGTTTGATTTGTCAATGTTGCCATCTAATTAATTTTTTTCCAAATATTTTCCCATAAAAAACCTTCACTTTGATAAATCGTAACAACCTTGTTTTTTGTAGTTACGAAATTCCTTTGAGCAATCATTTTATTCCGAATAAAGGAGTACACCTTGATAATGAGATGGTTGGCTTTAGTGATACAGGGTGGTCACAAGGAAATGGTAAACTTTCCAAATTTCAAAGTGCCATAACTATTTTTGGAACCACCACTATTTTATCGCACTAGTGGATAGTCTTTTGTGTTTTGCTCAATCTAAACAGTGTAGTTTTTAGGTTGTTCAATATTTTACACAAAATTTCCTATTCATAAACTAATGCTTATGCATCGGAGTAGGTCGTGATAATAAAAAACAAAAGAAGTAAATAAGCGTCACAAATTTTATTAATTTAGTTTCGACTGGAGTACTTATATTTAACTCTGGTTAATGGGCTTACCGTTGCTTTTAAATTGAACGAGACCAATAAGACCTTGAGTGGCTTGAATTTTTGCCATATAAGCAAAAATTTACGTTGAACTCGCCTACAAGAAAAATTGTAACCCATGGATTGTAAAGATGGGCTATTACTGCATTTAAATTGAGAAAAAACAATAAAAACTGGATGCCCACATACCTCTAATACATTTTCAACGTGTTCAAAAAAGGGAACCACCACTTGTTAATAACAGGGCAGTAATCGGTCTCGGAAGCCGAAACTATTTATACGGTTACTGTAAGAATGTTCCTCAATTCCACTATTTCAAATACGTAAAATATGAATAAAAATCTATTCAAGGCTATGAAAGTACTTCAAATTCCACATAAATTATTCTTTGGGAATTTTACCATAGCCGTTTTATGATAATTGTAACTACAATGGTACAATGCCTAATTTGCAGTCTTTTGATCTATCTCTTAACAGTCAGACGTGAATAAAGTGTTACCCATGTTTTCCGTATCGCGAAAAGTATCCGACAGGTTGTTTTTGAAATTCCGCTTTACTTTAAAGCAAAAGCTTCACTCCAGTGTTCCCGATGTTGTTATTCCAAATATGCACTTGGAGGAGTGCATTTGGAAAAATCTGGAGAAGTGGCACAATAAAACTGCTCTGGTAATTCTATCGAATATACTAATCATAACAATACTGTGACTATTTCAGGTATGTGCCCAAACAAATTGCAGTTACACGTATTTGCAATTGTACAAAAAGAGCAACGCACTCACAAGTTTCTTGTGCAACCTGGATAAACTAAAACAGTCTGATAGAGTTGCCGTAGCACTTCCCAATCTTCCGGAATATGCGATTATTCTACTAGGGGTCATCCAAGCAGGCTGCACTGTAACAACTCTGAATCCTTTATATACATCGGGTACGTATGTCGTACTTTTTTGTAGTCTGTAGACCAAAAGAACTTGACGTGTTTGGAATTTCAGAGTCATTTGTGTTACTAGAACTAAGAGATTAGAAGTGGCGTAAACAATCATGCCAAATAGAATTTAACAATTATTGCAATAGTTTAGTCAATACTCGGTACCGTAGACGTAATAATTTCCATACCATGGTCACCATTTTTGAATATTCATTTCTACACAGCCCCTTTTTAAACTGATTTTGATTTGTTCCCTCAACTTTGTTTCAAGCATACAAAATCATCTCCATGCTTTGATGCATTTTACGTGCTTTTCAGTCTGGTATCATAATCATAATTCATAATGTTATGTACTTGATATTGCTATTGTAAGATTCCCATTCATAAAAATGTGTTTACAGACGAAATGAGTCACCAACTAATAGTCGCAGAAGCCAAAGTAATATTTACAACACCTGAAACATATAAAACTGTACAAATTGCATTGCAATTAAGCAAACTTCACATACCAATCATTGTTGTTAGAGCAAAGGTATACTATTCACATAGTGAATGGAGTATAGTGATCTGTGTCAACAGAACGATTCTACCTTACCACATGGAGCAATCGACTTCGACGAAATTGCTCGAAATCATTGCGACGCGAAGTTTGACTTGCGCAGAAGTCATGATGACACTGTATTAATGTTGTTTTCAAGTGGAACAACAGGTTTGCCCAAGGGAGTTGAGATTACAAACAGAGGTTTGGTATCCAGCCTTCACCAAATGTCGGCACCTAAACTTGATCCTATATCCGAAACGAGCGGTAAGAGAAAAATCAAAGGTTACTAACGTCAATACTAACGGTAAATATTTTGTAGAATCTGAACAGGAGGTTGTCCCAGTAGTTATACCAATGTTCCATATATACGGATTAGTGATTGTCCTTCTGCATGGCTTGTTGAAGGGAAGCAAACTCGTAGTAGTTCCAAAATTGTCATCAAAACTCTTTGTGAATGTTTTGGAAACGTATCAACCTACCGTCCTCTACGTGGTGCCGCCAATATGTACAAGAAAAAATGAAAAGATGGTGGTAACTGAACGGTTTGGTTTTAGTTCACATGTTGTTAAATAGGAATAACATTAAGCCGTCCCACTTCACTAACACGAAAAGTATATTCTCTGGAGCTGCACCTCTGGGAGCCACAGATGTTATGGCTTTAAGCGAGAAATTACAAGGAAAGGTGAATGTTTTTCAGCTGTATGGACTGAGCGAAGTATGTTTGAGTCACGTTCAGAGTTCACAAGTAGATGGACATAGAAAACCAGGTGGAATCGGTTTTCTGCTACCTTCAACTGAGGCCAAAATTATGTCCACCACTACTGGGAATGAAGTAGGCGCCAACCAGCTGGGAGAGATGTTGCTTCGAGGTCCTCAGGTATATAACCTTTGATTAGGCAAATACTGACAAGCGTAATAGGTGATGAAAGGATATTACAAAGATCGAAATGCAAACGACGCCGCGTTTACTAATGATGGGTGGTTCAAAACAGGAGATTTATGTTACTATGATGAAGATGGTCATTTTTTTCTTACAGACCGAATCAAGCAACTCATTAAGGTTTGCCACTAATAAGACAGTAATGTTATAGCTACTACCTATTTCATAGGTAAGTGGATACCAAGTGGCCGCAGCAGAATTGGAGGAACTAATAAGACGCCATAAAGACGTAGATGACGTTGCCGTGATTGGAGTTCCTCACGAAAAGTTTGGTGAAGTACCCAAGGCATTTGTGGTTCGTAGACGAGATTCAAACGTATCGTCATTTGCAATTCAGGAATTTGTAAAGAGTAAGGTTGTACATTATAAGCAGTTGATTGGAGGAGTTTCTTTCGTTGATTCGATTCCGAAATCTCAAGCGGGAAAGATACAGAAAATTGAACTAAAGAAATACTAATGCATTAGTTTGTAATTATTGATGCAATAAAATAGTTAATTAACCCATTGACATGCCTCTGAATTATTAAGTTTACACGCCAAGTTAGCATATACAATTAAATAATTAAAATTAATTAAATTGGAGTATAAAGCATTCGCATAATCTAACTAGAATTACACGTGTATTACAAATTACAAAAGACCAAGGGTACCGATTCATCCCAGTTCAATTTTAATTGCTAAAGCCTTTGTACGTAACGGAAATCTATAGGGGATAATAGAACATTTCCTAGTGCCCAACGAGTTTGGGTTTGCCTATTATAGAGACTAATTGCAAATTATGAATTTGTTTTTGTTTTCCAAAAATACAAAAAACTTGCAATTAAATCTAAATGACTTTGATTTGAAGGCAATTTGGAAGGTTGAATTTTTTGGAATTTCTGCTGCACAGTTTTACAATTTGATATTGTAATTCATGCACAAATAATTCTTCTATACTACCAAGGCTACTATACCTTCGACATTTTGAAAACATTTTCCATGTTAGATTAACCTAGCTATACAAATACAAAGACGTAATAAGTTTATTTTTTAGCTCCAGCTGCTCGGGAGAAATCCGCAGGATCATTATTCCTTTATAAATAATATATTGCAACTTCAGTTGCGAATTCAGACGCCTAATAAATCACAAAAAACCGATACAATGCAATCTATCTCCACTGTAATTTATAAATACGTAAACATCACAGCTTTTACATCGGAAACCTTTTTTCCAGCATTCGGAATTATTTACCAATACCTCAACATATTGTGCCAATAAGCACAATGTAAATGTCACATAATTGGTATATGACACGTTAATTATTACTATTATCTTAATTAACAGAATAAAATAATTTGACACTTTTGATTATTGTATCGCCAGGGTGGCTTAACTCGTACATGTTCTAATGTTAGCATAGTCAAGTGCCGTATTTCGCTGAACCTCGGTAGTAAGTCCGCATACAAATGGCACAAAAAATTAAATAAGCATTAGAGGAGTAATGATTCTAATTTAATTTACAAGAAAAATAAATAAATTTAGAGATTATAGTCCAAAAGCGAAAGTAGTGGCAGTGGGCGGCAACCTGGATGTTCTGTCGGCGGAACGGGCGGACGGATGGACGGGCTGGGTCCCAAAATTCAAATCCCAAACTGAACGGCCTCAACTGGTTTAAAGGTCTTCATATACCATTGTAAACCAAAATCGTCTAAATAATTACTTAACGGCGCTGAAATTCTAAAATATTAATTCGCTCTCGTCTTCTAAATGACAAGAGCTTTCGGACGCAACAAAATAATTGAAAAATGTTGACAGGAACGGTTGCAAACGGACAGATTAATTGAAACTTTTATTTACGGTAGCGGCAGCTGTAAATAACTCTAGAGATTAAATCAATTACCTCTAGCTTCTATCGCCAACTCCTAGAATCAACGCACACAGGGTGTAAAACCGGTTTACGCACTATAGGGATTTCAATTTCCAATTTTTGGGCGCGGCTAGCTAGAGGAAAACAAAAGTTATCTAAATTACCACCTTTTATAAACCCTAGTCTCTCCGTAAGCAGCCTCAGACATGATGGAGGCTATCATTTTTAGTTTCTTTGTTCTCTTTATTTCGGTGTCCTTAACCACGTTACAGGTTCTTGGTTTTAATCCGGTTCGGACATGGATTTCTGTCATAGTAGCAGGCTTATGACAAAGACAAATAAAGTAAATTAAAGAAAATAGGTGGCGGAAACAGCATCTTCACTAAAGAAAGTATGGTAAAAGAATTGGTTTCGAATTCCTATGTAAGCGGCATGTGCCTAACGAGAACGGACCGGAAACCGTCATCTAAAAAGAAAGCATTTGATAAATAAATAAATGCTCTATTAAAGGATATCATGTAGATTCGACCTATTGATATTCGAGAAACATCTTTCCATAAAGTATTGCGCAGGATGTTACAAAAAAACCACCGACGATAAAGTCGCTAAGGTTAACATTAAAAGATCGAGAATTGTACAAGGGATTGAGAGATAACGATGGCAGTGATCAGTTCACGATTTCCACTGACAGTTCCGCTCTGTAAAGTTAAATATTCGACAGAGAATTCCCTTACCCTTAATTTATATTATTCACCAAGAGACAACTTTCGTTTCTCCGGAGCTATCCAATAAAATAAAGTCAACGTCTCCCATCAAAAGGCGCCCTGAATTGTTTAAGGTGGATGTCTCTCAAACGCTGATGGCTCGCGTATAATACATAAATGATGCAAAATTCCGTTTTAAACGTGAAGGGATGTCGGTTATTGGTCCAAACTTTGGTCAATATCGACTAGAAGTTATAATTTTCAGCACAAAACTTCGATTAATTTCAGTTAACTAAACCCCTCGATTAATTAAACGCAAATCTCACCCGCTGTTCTCGAAACCGCAAGGAAAATATTTTATTAACAACTTTGCTGATTAAGACTTGAAAATGGTTTTCAGGAAACATCTTATACACTGGCCCCTTTATTTACTTCCTAATGATGTGATCAAGATGATGAGAAAGTTGCCGTAAGGGTATACGCCCTATTCGTTATTTAAAAGGAAGTTTTCGTAAGCCCTAATTGACTATATAAGGAACTCAAATATTTTTAACGCTTTAAGTCGGAAAACTTTCCCGCGTAAGCTCCTGTTTTATCTCGATTGAAATTAATTAATTAGTACGTTGGAAACAGCTAATTCAACTTCGATCGAAGGGCGGTTACAAACAGGATAAACAATAAATTCAAATTATACATCGTTAAACTCTTTGTATCGATCAGTTCCTCTCATTTTACTATTAACGTGTTGAACGATGATGTATCGAGGCGAGCAAGAACTAAATGCGTTTTGTGTTGTATGAATGTTAAACGATTTCCTTTTCCAGCGATGTAGATTGTAATTTTTTGTGCAAAAAAGAAATTTATCTCAACAGTGTGAATAAAATACCTCTACTTCAATAAGAAAGGGCAATTTCTGCGACGTTCTCGAAATACAAATTTTATAATTTTTCAAACATGCTGACAAATTGGAGTGAATGTTTCACCACTTACTAAACTTTGAATGATTATTATTTAGGAACAAAATTTGCAGCCCCGACTCGAAAGCGATTAATACCCCTCGAAAAGTGTGGTCGTTTTAATTATGAGTGGCTGGGCAATGTGCCATTGGTGCTCGCGTTGATGGATTTTGGTTTTATGGCCTAAGCGTAAATGGAAATAAAAGTAATGCATATGTTGCTTGGCAAATTTAGGGTCGGTTTTAATTCCGAGACATATCGTGAATCGGAAATGTCTTTCTTCTATTTCCCTCATTTACATTATTGACATCATTTAATATGCGAAAGTTGTAAAACACTAGACTATAAAGGGGTTACTGTTACCATTTCTAAAAGCACTTTTGGAATAGTAAAAGCTTTGAAAAGGGTCTTGACGTCACGCCAAAATGGGGCGCGTTTCGCTACACAATTGACAGCGTAAGATGTAATATGTATAGGTATGTTGTATGTATATTATTTCTTCTTGTTATATTCAAAATACAAGTCCTCTTCTATATTCGACAACCGATTAGGGCGGTGGGTGTTATTTGAATTTATTCCTAATTGCCATCCATCTCGTTTTGATTTACAATCCAATAAATATGTAAACCTTTTTCACAACAAGCAGTTCGTCGAGCTCAAAGGGCTTGATACACAGAATTGGCCCAACTTCACGGTTGGCACAATCGGCGGGGGGGAGGGGGACTGGTTGAAGCTTTCCTCTTGTTTCTAAATGGATTCGTCTAAAATTTAACCTCCACACATCCCTGTAAATAAGACAATAACGAGTAACTAAAATTTATAGAGAATATATGCTCGTGAAAATGCAGAACCACTTACAAGCATTAATTGCTGCACAGAACATACCTATTGCATTCCTAATTGAAAATAAATTTTGAAGAGATGGATTAGATTGAGATCAAATAAATCAACATTTCCGCGTGGATCGTATGGGGGATCACTGATCAGTCATTTAACAATACCCGCAAAGTACCGACACGTTGCACCGGGATCGTTGTGGTTTTACAATTATCGATTAACATAGAAAGGTTATCAAGTCGCTGAGATTTGAAGCAATGGCGTTGCTGGCGACTTTTTAGTTGTGTTTACACCTGGCAAATGGCATACGTCACTGAAGTTGTACAAATGTTTAAGTTACGTTACGAAATAGCACTAACCAAGAAATTTAATCCAAACAGATGAATTGCGTTAATGTGATATAATAAATTAAACTCAAACAAGTAAGATGAATTTCCGCTCAACTAATTTCATCAAGAAACTGGAAATATACAGCTTCCATCGCAATCGGTGCGACTAGAAGACGACGTTTAAATGAATGCATACCTTTTAGTATCCTTCAACGTTAATAATGTGCAGTCTCCTGCGCAATCCTTATGGCTGTGTTAATTGAATAGTTTCCTCAGAATGAATGTGTACTCAATTTTTATTGTTGGGACATTTAAATGAGCCACCTAAATAGGAAAGAAAATTTCCAGCGCCTCAAAGTCTCAGTTTAGTATCAAAGTTAATAGTTTTATACGTAGCTTTGGGCATAGATTTACTCTATGCTTTGGGTTTCATTTCTGACCAAGGGGGTGAGTTGAAAACTACATATGTATTTTTTTAATTGCGTGGGTTTTAAAAACCAGCTGAGATTATAGTACAAAAAGATATTGAATTCAAAGTGGGTCTCTTGCAGTTTTTCCAACCAACTGGCCACTTGGCCTTCTGGGCTCTTAAATTGCAATAACCACGGCAAAGCGGAGTGGTCGGTCCTTACGGTAAAATTCGGGCCATACAGCTACTTATGGAAATGTTCAATTGACTTAATGACGCCAAGTGACAAAATAATTGCATTCCGATCTAGAGAAGACTTTACTGAAATACCCGATGAGTCTCTCGTGCTCATCATGCACAGCACCTATTCCAACACTGCGAGCGTCCGTATCTAACACCTTCTCTTCTA